TTTTAGGTAGGATGGTTGAACCATTGCTTGGGTTAACCTCATTTCAACACTACAGGGAATCCAACTATTTGATTTCTACTGTGAAGCTCTAAAATTCCCTATATACTTTGAAAACAAGCAATCTAGACTACCTTTCGGGACGATATAATACATCGGTTTCGACATTATCTAGATTAGGATGACGCATTTGATGATGATTAGAAAGCTTCAAGACTATAATACAAAAAGAACAAGCTAGCAATATATAGATTATTCTTGACAGAAGTTAATTAGACATAAGCATAGAGTTAGCTACCTCGGTCATGGTGGGGCGCCATAACGCAGACTCTCGGATGCATAGAGAAGCTGCAAGGGAAAAACTTTTCAACTGCGTAACGTCGTACGCCCCCCCGAGTCGTGGATCTACAAGCTTTTCGTACTCTCCTCGGTTTAATATCGGTTTCGCCTGATTGAAGCAGCACAACAACATGAACAACATGTCAAGAAGAAACCAACCACTGATGTAATCCACAGACATTCTCGAAAAAAAGGCGAAAACGATCACCAACGGTTCGAACCATTTTCAGGCAAGGAAATGATTGTTTGTTTGTTTGTTGAGGATGAACTTATAATATATATCTATAATGAAAAGTTGATAAAATAATTTAGCATACCCAGGTGTGTAAGCTTTGGTGAGATCCATCAACAGGCTTTCTTCCAGAGATTACTTCTAAAAGAAACACTCCAAAAGCAAAAACATCGGTTTTCTCATCAACAATTCCATGCAAATAGTATTCTGGGGCTAAGTGCCTGTAGATAATCACAACTCTTTCATAAAAATTTCATTTTGTTCTAAACAATTAGATCCAACAAACGCAAAAGCTTGCTAATTACCCAAAGGTTCCTTCAATAGGAGCAATTGAATGATGAGACCATTGAGTTGGGAGCCATTTAGCCAACCCAAAATCTGAAATCTATGAAACCAAAAACTAAAAAACATCAGAAATAAACAAGATTTTTCATAAAATTCGGACAAGAACAAGAACAGTGGATGAGAAGGACAAACCAGGGGCTCGAAATCTGCAGTCAAGAGAATATTTGAAGACTTAATGTCTCTATGAATGATTCTCCTTTGGCAATCTTTGTGCAAATAATGGAGTCCTCTGGCTGTCCCGATTGCTATCTTGGACCTTGTTTTCCAATCAATTGGACCCAGTTTATCATCTGCAGAAACAAGATATTCAAATTCGAGGTTATTTAGGGAATGGGGCTGTGAGAAAAAGCTTCTTTTTATGGCTTACCATGGAGAAGAGAAGCCACAGAGCCTCGTGAAGAGAAGTGGAAGATTAGATAAAGGCCATTGTCAATACAGCAACCTAAAAGAGACAGAACATTTGGATGTTGAACATGGCCGATGGTCCCAATTTCTGTCAAGAACTCCTTCTCTTTCCTCTCATCAGTGGAGGTTTTCGTGAGTCTTTTCACTGCAATTTCTTCGCCGTCGCTTAAAATGCCTCTGTAAACCTCCGCATATCCTCCTTTTCCGACCAAGTTCTCTAATACCCAGATGTAAAAAAAGAGACTTTATATGAAAAAGAACACAAAAACAGAGCAACCTCCAAAAGAAAGGGAAAAAAGGGTTTTTTTCTTTCTTTCTCTCTTTTTTTTTTTTTTTTTTTTTTTTTTTTTTTTTTTTTTTTTTTTTTTTTT